CCCGACACCAGCCATAGGGCCATGGCAGCGCAGCCCTCGGGTCCCAGCCCGGCTGTGTCCCACAGGCAGCGCAGCAGCGCCGCCGCCGTCAGCCCCAACACCGGGGGGGGCAGCGCCAGAGGCACGGCGGAACCGTCGGGCAGGAAGACACGGACCGCTGCTGATGCTGCTGGTGGTGGTGGTGGGACCCCCGGAACCAGAACCCACGGTCAGTGGGACAGCCAGGAAACGGGACCCGATTTTGTGGGACCCCCAGGTAGTGGGGTCTGCAGTTGTTGGGGTGTTGGGTAATGGGACCCCCAGGTAGTGGGATCCCCAGGTATTGGGACCCCCAGGTAGTGGGATCTGCAGTTATTGGGGTGTTGGTAATGGGACCCCCAGGTAGTGGGACCCCCAGGTAGTGGGATCTGCAGTTACTGGGCTGTTGGTTAATGGGATCCCCAGGTATTGGGACCCCCAGGTAGTGGGGTCTGCAGTTATTGGGGTGTTGGTTAATGGGACCCCCAGGTAGTGGGACCCCCAGGTAGTGGGATCTGCAGTCACCAGGGTCCTTGGTTAATGGGACCCCCAGGTATTGGGATCCCCAGGTCCTGGGACCCCCAGGTAGTGGGATCTGCAGTTACTGTGCTGTTGGTCAATGGGACCCCCAGGTAGTGGGATCTGTAGTTACTGGGCTGTTGATTAATGGGACCCCCAGGTCCTGGGACCCCCAGGTAGTGGGATCTGCAGTTATTGGGCTGTTGGTTAATGGGACCCCCAGGTAGTGGGATCCCCAGGTATTGGGACCCCCAGGTAGTGGGATCTCCAGTTATTGGGGTGTTGGTTAATGGGACCCCCAGGTATTGGGAACCCCAGGTAGTGGGATCTGCAGTCTGCAGGGTCCTTGGTTAATGGGACCCTCAGGTATTGGGACCCCCAGGTAGTGGGTTTTCCAGTTACCAGGGTCCTTGGTTAATGGGACCCCCAGGTATTGGGACCCCCAGGTAGTGGGATCTGCAGTTACTGGGCTGTTGGTTAATGGGAACCCCAGGTATTGGGACCCCCAGGCAGTGGGATCTGCAGTTACTGGGCTGTTGGTTCCTGGGACCCCGAGGAATTGGAACCCCCGATCAACAGGACCCTCAGCGACTGGGACCTGCAGTCAACGGGACCCCCGGTAAACGGGACCCCCTGGCAGCGGGACCCCCGCTTACGGCGATCCTCCGTTTCTGAGCCTCCGGTTATCGCGATTCTCGGGTTATCGTGATTCTCGGGTTATTGGGAGCCTCGTTAACGGGATCCCCGGTCATTGGGGTCCTCAGGAACCGGGACCCCCGTTCAACCGTTGGGTCCCTCATTAAAGCACCGGGACACCGCGGTACCGGGACGCCGCATCACCGCCCGCCCAGCCCGGATTCCGTAATTCCGCCCCTTTCCCGGTGCCCCTCCCTCACCGACAGCCCCGGTGGCCGCCGTTTCCGGTTCCGTTTCCGTTTCCGGTTCCATTCCCGGGTTTTCGCTCTGCTCAAACGCGACCGAAAGGAGAACGGAGGGTGAAGGAGTCGCGCCGTGTGACGTCACAGCGCCGCGTCACGTGACGAGGTGGGGAGGTGGGTGGGATCGGGACGTGGGAACAGCGCCGCCCTGCGGCGGGAGGTCGCTGCGGTCCTCCAACGTCCTGAGCCACGGAATTG